CAGTTGAAGATTCGGAATTCGGATGTTTCGAAGACTGCATTCCAGACTAGATATGGTCATTATGAGTTTCTGGTGATGTCCTTCAGTTTGACTAACACCCCGACAGCGTTTATGGATTTAATGAACAGGGTGTTCAGACCATATATTAATTCGTTTGTCATTGTCTTCATTGATGACATTTTGATCTACTCGCGCAATAAGGAGGAGCACGAGCAGCATATGAGAGTGGTGCTTCAGACGTTGCGGGAACAAAAGCTATATGCTAAGTTCTCCAAATGTGAATTTTGGCTAAATGCTGTAGCATTTTTGGGGCATATTGTATTGGGCAAGGGTATTAAAGTTGATCCCAAAAAGATCGAGGCAGTTCAGAATTGGCATCATCCCACTTCGGCGACTGAGATCAGGAGTTTCCTAAGGTTAGCAGGTTATTATCGTCGGTTCGTGGAGGGTCTTTCATCTATTGTAGCACCTTTGACCAAATTAACCTAGAAGGGTGCTCCGTTCCGATGGTCCGATGATTGTGAAGTGAGCTTTCAGAAGCTCAAGACAACATTGACTACAGCACCAGTGTTAATGTTGCCTTCCGGTTCGGGGATGCATACAGTGTATTGTGACGCTTCATGCGTTGGTTTGGTTTGTGTATTAATACAGGAGGGGCGAGTTATTGCATATGCTTCACGTCAGCTAAAGCCCCACGAGAAGAATTACCCGGTACATGATTTGGAGTTAGCTGCGATTGTTCACGCTCTTAAGATTTGGAGGCAATACCTATAGGTAAAATTGGGTCGTGACAAAAATATGAAAATACCGGAAAGGGAAAAAAGTTAATACATGTTGTATTGTGATCCATACAAGATTTGGGGATAGTAGAAGTTATAGGATTGTTTTCCCTTGTATCTTTTTGTAATTGATTGTCCCCGTGATCTTTTTGAATGGTTATTGTTTGCAGTCGACACATACTAAATCTGAAGGATAACAAATTATTTAGTAGTAATTTTCTCTTGTTATGTAGATATACATACACATACAAAACGTTATTTTTCTTCTTTTTTGGTACTTTTTATTTTATAGTGTAGTATTCTTATAAGACATAAAACTTTTAACATTACATTGTAATATTATTATTTATATCGGTAAAATTTTAATTCAATATAATAAGTTGTTAGTCATATATTTACAATATATTATCTTAGATCTTGTTGTGAAAAATATTATTTACTAATACAAATATTTGAGTAGTTTAATTAGTTTTAAGATATTTCTACTATTAAAAATAGGCAGTCTTGTCTTTTTCTTCTTTTATAAATTTTTTGTATCTACTCTCTTTTTTCTACAAGTTTAAATTATCTAAACGAACATAAAATCATAAAAACCCATAATTAAGGGTGTAAAGCAAAAGATTTACGCCCCCATCCAATTTCTTGAACATAGAGGTAACTTTTGTATAGAATGGAGTATTTATAAATACTTCACAGTGTTATTGCCTTCCCAGTTCAAATGCATTTACCTCATCTCAAAATGTAAAAAGGTAAGTGGGTCTATCTTTCAAGATGAACTAGGGAGGAGATGTTGCTACTCCCTTCACTCAATGTACTCTTTTGGAGATGAATAACAGGTATTGTTTGTTAAAAAAAACAAAAAACAAATACACTATCAGACTGAAAAGAGAAGCTCAAAAAGAAAAAAAGAATCGGTTCACTCTCGAAGTGACTGCTATAGATATACATTCACTTTTGCATCCAACAATAATTACCATATTATACTTTCAACAACCCAAATTCTTGAGTAATTCAAATTTCAAAGAACGACTTGTTAGTTTAATAAACATAATGGAGTAAAATAAATAGCAAGAGATACTCTTTTCTTTAATTACTGAGTTCAAGCCAACTTGTATGCACCTCGATTAATTTTACGAGATACTTGCGGCCTTCTACCGACAACAGATATCAGAAAACTCTATCCACCAATATTTGAATAAGACTTAGACAAATAAGAAATCACCTAATGCCTCTGCTGAAATTTAAAACCTGAGGTCTCATGGTTCTCACCAACTTTATTGACCACTAGACCACTCCCTTGAGCGGAAAACAAAAAAGAGAGATACTATAGGGTATACAATCTCGTTCAAAGTAATTTTGATCACCTCATATCTGAATGCTTTTCAACTCATTATTTGAAAGTTAAATTTCATCAACTACATATTAGAAAGAGGTAACGCATATTCTTTGCTACCACGAGGTACTAATTTCATGGAGTTAATGTATTTGAGTGTGTATACAAAAACTTTCCGTATTTCTATGTTTAGACTATTCTTCAAAAACTAACAAACGTTGGCTATTCATCGATTAGCGCTAGGGGTGTTCATGATTTGGTTTGGATCAGTTTTTTCAATAAAAAACAAACTAAGGAAGTCGGTTTTTCAAATATTGCAATCAAACCAAATTAATTAAGTCGATTATTTATCGATTCAATTTTTGTCGGTTTTTTCTTAAGTAAGAGACATACACTACCAAACGCATATTTCGGCGACTACATTTTCAACGTAATACTATCAAACCAATTGCTTTTTGAGAAATTTATTATTTACCAAGATATATTTATAGTAATTGAATCAAATAGTGATGAATAATTTAAGGGCACAATTAGAAATAGATTATTTATAACATAAAATTAATTTTTCTACTTAGCAAAAGAAAACTAACAATTAAACTAGAATATAAAGGCAAAGAACTAGATTATTATAATAGCAAAGAACTAGACTAAAAGTGCAAATGATTAACATATACCATAAAATTTTAGAAACTTTGTATAAAATACACACACACACACACATGTCCTGTATGTTGTTAAACTTTAGGACATCATGTCCTTAACTTCATATGTGCAGTGTAAATGTTACGGACATGGCGTTTTTAACTTCATGTGTGCAGTGTTTGTTAAGGACATAATGTCCTTAACTTGTATTTGCACCTTTTATTGTTAAATTTTAGGACGTCATTAATTTCATATATGCAGTGTAAATGTTAAGAACATGGTGTCCTTAACTTCATGTGCGCAGTGTAAATGTTAAGGACATAGTGTCCTTAACTTTATGAGTGTTGTAGAAATATTAAGGACATGGTGTCCTTAACTTCATGAATGTTGTGTAAATATTAAGGACAAAGTGTCATGTATTTGCACCTTCCGTTGTTAAACTTTAGGACATCATGTCCTTAACTTCATATGTGCAGTGTAAATGTTAAGAACGTGGTGTCCTTAACTTCATGTGTGCAGTGTAAATGTTAAGGACACCACGTCCATAATATTTACACAGCACTCATGAAGAAAGGGTAACAACGTCTTTTCGTATTAATTTTAATAGAGTAGTGACTATTTTGACTCAGCATTAAAAATACTGGATAAAAACTAAATACCATATTAAAAAGTGGCTATCCCACGCTATTTTTCAGTCTTTTTGTTGGTTTGGTTCGATTTTAGACGGCAGTTTTACCCCATCAAGGTTGTTAAATTTAGGCCCATTATAACCCCAAAGGGCATTTTATGAATAGAAAGAAAAGAAGGAGAGACGACAGGGAAATATGAGAATAATTTAAAACTTCATACTTTTTTTTATCTTTGCAAATGAGTAAAGCCTAAAATCTCGCTTAACATAATAAGTACTAATTACATTTGTTCTGAATGTATTTCCAACTTTTCATTCGAAAGTTAGATTTCATCAACTGCATACTCGAAAGAGGTAACACCTATAACCACGAGGAACTGCTTCCATGGAGTTAATGTATTTTGGGAACTCAAACAAATCTGCATGTAAGAAAATACTGTTTTCATGGGTTTACTAAGGGATATAGCCCTTTTCACTAAGAGATTCACCATTCTCATGTTTAAACTTGAAATAGTGAGGGGGAGAGATTCTAAACTATTTCAGCACACATGCCTCTCGTGCATGTGTAGATTATAGTTTTTAACTTAGTGATATTTATGCCTAACACAACTAACACTAATTGTGTCAGATTTTTTTTTGTTTACCGTAATGACTTGTCACCTTATAAACCTGGTCTAGCATGGTATATATATATCCTCTAACCCATCTAGAGACATTTGGCTGGGTGTTTGCCCAAGAAAAAGAAAACAATTCCCCTGAGGTAGAAGTGGAATCTAAGCTACTAATGGTTAATCTCATATTCCGAATTTTACAAATAAGAATTCTTTTGACAAAGAAAACCCATCCTTCAATAGGAGAGAGGAGTTTTTGCAGGTCCACACTTTATTTGATCGTCTCCTAACAAGAATTTTTGTGACAAAGAAAGTAAATTCGGCAGGGATTAAAAGAAACAAAGTTTTTGGAGGTCCACGGTCTATTTGATCACTCCCCTAAAAGTTAGCACAACTTTTTAGTGGTCGCGTTCTTTATAAGCAGGAATAATTCAAAGCATCTTCCATATATCGTAAATTCAAAATAATGGCACCAGCCCAAAAGCCAAAATAATCAAGGTCGGCAAATCCCTACCCCTTGTGTTAATTGTGAGAGTGGGTGTTTGGATTGGCTTTTAAGCTGGTTATATCAGTTTTTAAGTTTTTTTCAGTATTTGGCAAAGTCAAAAAGTACTTAAAATAAGTTAAAAATTATTTAAACAAGCCAAAAGCAAGAAGATGGTCAACCCCAACGTATTGTTTGTTTTTTGGCTTAAAAGTTACTTATGCTGAAAAATCACTTTTTTTTAAGCCATCCAAACGGGCTCTAAATCGACCCATAACAAAATGAGTATTTGAAATTGAGAAAGGGCAGAGGTTAGAGCTGATAAAATGTATGTACGCAAACTTTCATTCGGCCTGCCTATGACCAACTTCGCCAACCAGTTATTACTAACCTAAAAATTGTGAATTCATCTCTCTAAAGAGGGTTAACTTGTTCTCTTGATCTCACCATAGCGGGGTATATGCGATATCTGAGTGACAAATTCATGTTTGGCAAGGTAATTTAATTGGCAAAAATTGATACATCTATGAAAAAGATCAAAACTCAAATTCATGTAATTAGAAGATGCATAATGTATAGCTGGAAACTTTGTACCCTCCAGAAGAAACAAGGTACAATCTTCTATGTTGAACAATTGAATTAAAAATGGCAAATAGAAGCCATAGTTATTACATAGCTAAAATGGTACTTCATATCTCTCTAACCTTTTCAGTCTCTTCTTTCTCTTCTTCTTCTTTCCCAGTACCCTTCCATAAATCGGACAAGGTAGGAAGCTTATACTCGCCACTATAAGAGAGAGGAATGGTGAAATTGCCAATGACAGGAAGGTCAATGATGAGACCTAATTCGAGTGTATAGTCAAGGTCCCAATCTCCACCAACGTCCTTAACCAAGCTCAATAACACACTGTGTGGAACCTGCACTGGCACATCTAACATGGTCGAGTCATTTGCCTTTATATTCCCTGGGTCTGGAATTCTTCCTGATGCTATTACCCTGTGTTCCATCGTCAATTAAATAATACAAATCAGAATTTAGTAGAAGTATCTTCGACTAAATTACTTACATCAATCAATGAATCGCGACTCAATTCGAAACTAGTTGTCTAACTATATGAATCATCTATATCAATTTCTACCTATATCAATCAATGAACATATTCTCTTTAATTCTAACTTTTCTTTTTGGGAGAGAACATGTTCGCAAATAGTGGGAGAAGCAGTGAACTGTTGAAAGAAAAAGTCAATTATGATCTTTTAAAGTTTTCCTAATATTGACTTCATCCCATGTTCCAACTACCAATCTTACCGAACATTCACCCTCCCATCTCTCAACCTTACCAAAGATTTAGTCACACATTTTGTTTTCCTCTATTCATGGTCCATTCCAGTCAAAGAAAAAAAAAATTAATATGATGCGGATCGAGAATTTAAACATTAGTGTGTTTTCAATCGTTCTAAAATGTATATCTAACTCTATTTGTAGAAATCCGCCACTGTGAATCTAAAAATCTAATTGGCTGGAGACAAAGCCAGAGCCTACATAAACTATGCAGAAATTAGGTACATATGGTAAGGTAATTTAGGTAATTGAAAAGTGGAGAGAGAAATAGGAAGAGGGAATGGAGTTGGGGGGAAAGTAGAACTAACCTGGAGGCGCTTTTGAGGACATAATCAATCTCCATGATAGGAATAGGAACAGAGTAAGGATTCTTAACGGCGACTTTAGCGTGAAAGGTAAGGCCACTAAGACCGATCTTCTTCAGATCCACATCGGTGATGCTTGCCTCCGGTTTCTCCATGTTCGCTATCTTCTCCGTCACAAAATTCTTCGCCTTGTCTATCAGATCCATTCTTCTTCTTTTGTTGAATCGGGGGAAAGTGCTGTTTTGTGCTCAACAAATCATTCTCACTGGGGTTGGTATAAAGAGTCTATTTATAAGACATGACTACGCGTTTGAGTCAGAATTCACGCGCTACCCTCATCTAAGTCACAATAGTTGTTCCTACTTAGACAGAATCTAATAATAATGCTGTTTAAACGATGAAAGATCACCAATCAAACTATATTATCACCAAGTTGACATTTTATAATTCTTTTTTTACTATTATATTTAGTAGACATGTGATGTAGCGATAAAGATTACATTATTATTGGGAAAAATTATATGCTTAAGTCGAAAAAGCAGTTATTTTTGTAAAAAATAAGGTGCTCATGCATAGTAAAAGCTTAGTATACTACTACTCTATTTTCTTATCTGGTTTTCATTTGATGTTTGGTTGTTAACTACTGGAGTTGATGCTTTATTTTGGGCACGGAGTGCTTCTCAATGTGAGCAAGAAGATAAAAGGGAATAAGGGATAGTGTTGGTATATGTACATTCTCCTTGTGATCAGCGAACTTTTTTACTTGACACACTAATTACATCTGCAAAAAGAAAGGGAAAACTAAAAATGAAGTTTCATGACCAAAATTTAGAGCTGTTATTAATTACAGATCTGAAACTATCATTATATAGCCTTTTAAGTATAGGACTGTAGGAGCAAATTGTTAATAATTTGTACAATTAAATGAAAGTATAAAATGGGAGTTAAAAACGATATAAAATGATACGACAAGAAAGTGCGTTGAAATATTGACAAGACCAAATATTTTTTTAGATCTAATTTCAAAGTTTGGCTAACATCTTCCTTTCCTGCTGAGATCGAGACTGTTATCTGATACTCCAATCTAATATTAAATGTAAGCTTGTTATTTAACGATAAAATAGCAAAAAATAAAGCAAAAAATCTGTTTACCCTAAAATTCGAGTAACAATTAAACTTATTTAGTGATTTTAAGGATACGTGATTTAATCCAATACCAATTGATAAACAAGGAATTGAATAGATAATCTGAATAGTAAAATTAATCAAACCAGTGTTGTAGCCGTACTTTCGACGTCGATCCGAGATAGTCTCGAGGTTGGGTAACAAGAACAGTAAAGAACAAAAAATAAACAATGATTAACAGTAATGGATAGTAAGTGAAATAGAGAGCAGCGTTTGTGTATATTTTTATCAGTCAAAATCCTGTTTACAAATGAATGGGGTCCCTCTTTATATAGTAGATGAATCCTAAATAAGGTACAATTTTAATAACGGAAACAAATCTCATGATTGGTGTCAATAACCGCTTGATTCGATTTGTTCGGGATTTCCGCCGAGATCTTCGGTCGGTTGCTAATCTCTCGCCATTCCGTTATTATGTTCGATCTCGATCTTCAGCGAGCACTTCGATCTTCATGCTCCATACTCTGTCATTGACCTCGAGCCTAGTCTATTACGAGCTTACTCTCGAGGCAGCTCCTCATACCTATGAAATCGGGCATGCCCGATTTCGACCGTATACAAAATCTTTAAGACAAAATTAAACCATAGTTTGTATTCGTCTCGAAGAAAATTGGAGGGACTTGTGTCGTTTTTTCTCCAGTTGCAAAGATGTATAACAACCATCAAAATTTGGTCTAAAAGATTTACCGACTGATCTCTAGTCTCTAGAGACAATGGTTGCATTTAAATAGGAAAACAATTTGATTTTGCTTAGTTTTGAGAGAATTAGTATCGGTTTTTCTTTAAATAAATCACTCTAGTTAATAATCCTTTTTGTATAAAAACAAGCTGTTGTCAATAGAAAGAAAAAGAAGTCCATAAAATATAAAATACTCATTCTTCAAATAATTAAAAAAAGAGATAAAATGTTTAACTGAACTTATCCAATCTCGTGCACTATAGAATAATGTTGTTCCATTTAGACAGAAACAATCACGTCACATGAAAAATAAGTATAATACAAATTTACATACTTAAAAATTATTTCTAAGTGTATTTTTTTAAAGTGCTTTTCACAAAAGTATTTTTGGAAAAACATTAATTTTTTTTCAAAAACTGTTTCTGATTCTACTCAAAATACTTTTTTCCTTCTAAAAACTTGATCCAACACCTTAATTTTAAAAGAAAGAAAACACTTTGACAAAAAAAAACTGTTGGCCAAAAAAATTGAAAAATTAACCCAAAGCCCACTTAATTACTTAAACTAAAAATAGCCAGTAAATATATAATATATATCTACTTTATATATAATATGTGTATAAATAAGTATAATTAGTGTATAATCTATGTATACCGGCCAAACAAGCCTATTAGAGATTGTTAGAGAGACGGTAGTAGAGGTGTCAATGGATATTGATAAACCGATTAAACCGACTGAATTGTACCGTACCGAATCGATTTTTAGGTTTCTTTTAATAAAACCGTAGATTTTTATATAAATTTATAACCGTATAATTAGGGCTGGTTTTTATTTTATGAAAATAAACCGAAAAAATACCGAACCGTACCGAATAAATTTACGATATGAAAATCATATTTATATATTAAGTTTTAAAATAATAAAGCATTAATTTTTTTCTTAGGCTTTGGAATTATGAAGCATTTACAAGCCAACAAGTAGTTAAACTCAAAATCATAATTCCCAAACCTATTATGCTACTCCTATTGAAACTAAATTATTTCTAGTATATTCACTAGCAAGACACAAGGTATTGTAGCGATTATGAGTAGCAAACTACAATGTATTGAATATGGTTCCTTTCGTATGCTTTAGATTTATCTTTTTGAATTTTTGATATTCTATAGACTTTATTCTTGAATCCTATCTCGGTTAATATCTTTCCACTCGTGTGATTTATATTTTTTTTGTATTTGTTTAATTTTTTTTGCGTTGATGTAGAATAGTTGATGGATCTATACTCTAGCCATCTTTCATATTTTCTTAATTCACCACCTTTTAAACTGTAAAAATATCTACAGAATTTTTTTAAATCCTATAAAAGTACATATGTTATTGAATTCTACTTCTACTAGTGATTTTTACATGTCATTTAAAAAAATTATCGAAAGTTTTAACGAACCGTACCGATACCGAAGAGAAACTGACATGATTGAGACGGTTTCGAAAAATTTTATTTTGGTTATACATAATAGAATAACTGAAAATTTGATATGATACAAATTTTATAAAATAATCGGTCAAATCGAACGTTTGACACCCCCAGATGTAGTAAATTGGTAATGAGGATTGAGGACACGCTGCACACACGTGACGATCAGTATCTTCGGCGATGAGCCCGCGTTATTTGATTGCTTATAACGTTGGTGCGTGTGCGTGGAAGGGGAGAAAGGTACCAGACGGAGTAAACCATTAATTAATCTTGCAATTTCTCAGACGTGGGGATCACGATGTTTCAGGGTACAATTGCTCAAATGTGTAATGTGGTTTTCTATTGCCAAGTGGTTATTAAAGGGCTTTCCCAAATGGGATATTCTAATAATATTTCACTTAAGATTCTACCACGTAATTTATAGATATTTTGTACCATGATTTGAATCCTTGATTTGTGGATCTCAAGATGGTCCAACTATTTTCTTTTACTGTATAACTAGTAAAGGATGACCATGGCCAAGCACTATATTGCATATCGAGTTTTTTTCTTCTAAATCTTCATATAAATAGCCTATTAGAATCACGGTTTATTTTTTTAGCCGATATAAATAACAAAAGGTTAGAGAGTTATCATCAAGTATTTTAAAAAATTCAATGTTACACAAAATAATACAATATTAGAAATATTCAATGGCTGAAAAGATGCACGACTCATTTTTAAGCATTCTCATTTTTATGGTATTTTGGACTTTCAGTTTAATTTGTTTCTTTTTGTTGTAATTCTTTTTCTCTCTACTTAAGCATATTTACAGATGTAATCCATGGTTGTAGTACTTTTGGTCATTGTGGAATATAATTCTCTTTTATTTTATTTTATTTTATTTGCAAATGCACAACAAAATTCCTTTCTTTTAATGTAGTATTTAAAATTTTTCTTATTATAATTTTCTTGAAATCTAATGTAACTTCTAGTATGTGCATGAATATCTTTTTTTAACAAAAGATTATATATTAGATAATCCATTATTTGAAAATCATTTACACCTTCTAACTTTGCTTTGAAAATCAAACTCCCCCCTCAACTTTGAACAGTAGTCATTTTCCCTCCTTTATCCCATACAATGCCTTTTTGCCCTTGAGTTTTTAATTCCCTCCTCTATATAATATACTTTTTTATTCTATAATATTTTTATGGTTTTATCTTTAATTTAAATTATGTTATACCTTATTATAATAGGTATTACATAATTTAATTTATAGCTAAAACCATAAAAAATATATTATATAATAAAAAAGTATTAAATATAGGCAAAAATTGAAAATTCAAGGGCAAAAAAGGTATTGCGTAGGATAAAGGAGGGAGAATGGCTATTGTTCAAAGTTGAGGGGGGTTGATTTTTAACGCAAAGTTTGGGAGTGTAAATAATTTTCACCCCAGATGTTTGTGCATGCAAGAACAAATATTGTATGCAACCATTATTGTTGTTTCATGAAATCAACTATGTTAATTCAAAATTAAAATTAAAAAATTTCGTCTTTGAACTATTACGGCTGATCGTAACTTTACATTGAATTGTTAAAGTCATGGTTTTAAAAATAAATTACCATTTCAAACAATGGAAATCAGCTTGCAACTCTAAACTCCTTTAAAACATTGAGTCTTTTCCATTTAGATACGCAAAGATAGATTTTGCCTTTATTTTCTGTGTGAATTGATTTAGTCTTTCATTGTGAGTTCAACTGTATATATCAGTATATATATAATTTGTCATAAAATTATACCTCATGCTCTATTTATTTAAAGTAGAGGCATAAATAAATAGATTGTATATCTAATTTGAAAATAAAATTTGAAAAAAGCTTGAATCCTTGAGTAGAGTATTCCTGCAACTTTCAAAAGATAAAACTAAGAATACATTGATCCGTGAAAAAAAAAATTATGGAGAAAA